ACTAGCTCCCGTCAGCCTCCATCAGCCTGTGCTGCCCACACAGACCTGGTGGTCCAGGGGCCAAGGTGCAGGGTGGACATGAGGGAGAGCAGGTTGGGGGTTTGGGGGAGCTAGAATCTGGCAGGCTAGACCCCCAGGTGACTCCAGGGAAGGTGTTTCATGGCCTGGTTTTCCACTTTCAAGTGTGTCCAAAGGAAGGGAATGTGTATATATTGATGATGTCCTGCTGTATACCGAACCCTGGGCCCGGAGCTTCCCGAACATCACACAGATTCTCCTTGAGATAGAGAAGAGAAGTAACTGTCCAGGGTCCCAGAGCCCAGCTGAGGCAGAGCCAAGGGGTGACTCCTTCATCGCTGGTTCTTCCATGGCTTGACCCACGCACGGCAAGGGAGGGAGCCCCAGTAAGATGAGGGCTGAGCTCAGGCCCTGGGAGTTCTGAGGCCGTCGCCTACCCAGGTTCTTTCTGTGTTATCTGCTTCCTCTTCTCCCAGGACACTAGCTGAAGAAGGCTCTGCAGAGTCGGGGAGAGGCTCAGCCCACCCATCGGGGTCCCAGCCAGGAAGACTGGCAGGAACCTCACCTTCAGATCTTGGTTTGTTCATCACAGAGTGAGAGGGGACGGCAGCCTACACCTGAGGGCTGAGAAGGGACCTGAGACACCGTGACACACAGGTGGCACTGTGGGCCTGGGAACTGTCTTAGCATCCTTGTTTGGGAGCACAGCATCCTTGCTTCACGGAGGGGTGAAGACGGAAGCCCTCCTTGGGAGGGACCCTGTCTTGTTCCTGGATGCTTCCCTTCAGGGTTAAGTGTGACCTCAGAAAGTAATAAAGTCGCCACCTTCCACGACAGCCAGATACGTGCCGTGTGCGCCCGCAAGTTTAACTCAACAGTGTGCTGGACACTCTTCGGTGATGTCAGGCAGAGTTGTGACTGTACGGAGCCTGGGATGGTGACCTTGTGAAGAGGGACTCTTCAGGACAGGGACAGCTGGGACACCATCCAGCAGCAGATCCCGCCAGGCTAGAGGCCTCAGCAGTGCTGGCCTCTCTCTCCTCCTTGCTTCCTGTCATTTTCCATGACCCCTCAGTTCCCTTGCTGACCTGGAGTTTGCTTAACCTCTGTAAAAATATTTCCCGAGACCTCATTAGTCCTGGGGTACACCCCCTGCTCCCCATTTGTCATACGAATGTTATCCTCGGTGCCTATGGCTGAGTCCTATGGTGCTAGGCATTCGACTGGTGCTGAGAGTCAAGGTCCCGACCCCACTTCCTGGGGGTACAGTGGTGAATCATAGTCTGGATGTCTTTCTGTATGCTGTCTGGATAAGTGAAGACGTCGAAGGCCAGACAGACAGCACAGGAAGGCCCTACAGACGGCAGTGCTGTGCTGGCCCAAATGCAGCTCCTTTGTAGGATGATTGCTCTAAAGACACTATCCTGTGCTCTCACAGAAGTGTCTCGCGGCTGGCTAGGGAACAGGACCTCTCAGAGAGCGGCCAGTCTGGTTGGGAGAGTTCATAAGAGTATATTTCATCACGTATTTCCACTGTCTGAAGATGCCAGAGCAAGCCACCATCTGTGGCCAAGAAGCTGAGGTAACTAGCTGAGCAGATCTCACCATGCCACCTCAGATCCTTGGAAAACACTCATTTGGCCTCAGTTTACCATCTGTGAGAGGCACGAGCTCATGCTGGAATAGACAAGAAGTTTCCAGAAAGCATCTCTGACTGTGTTCCGTTATCTTCTACAAGGCAACCACAGAAGACCTACAAGGGTTGCATTGAATCGGAGGAAACTCAGCTTCTCTCTTGATCCAGCATACTGTGGGCGTCCTAACCCTGGCACCGCCACGTTCTCTCTCCAAAGATGGTTGCCTCTCACCAGCTGTGTGGTAAGTTAACTTAGGCTCCCTGTGCCTGCCTGCTTCCTCATCTGTGGCACGAGGATCTCCCGGGGTTTCAGAAACGGGCACTTCGTACTCAGTGTTGCTTATAAAGGTCCCGTTTGCATGGTGTGAAGATTCTACACGGTGTGGGGCATGAGCCTTTCTTTAGTGGTGCTCCAGACTCAGCTGGGTTGTGGCCTATGCCCATGAGCCTGTGGGAGATCTGAGTGGCCCTCTGGTTTCCTGCTCTGCCTTCTGCACTGTGTCTCTCTGTCTCTTTAGCCCTTCGAGACAAAGCCTCAGAACAAGACACGCGTCTTGACTGATAGTGACAGATCTGAGTGGGGATGTGAGCATGTGTGCATCAGGTCTACCTGGGGACATCTGGTGAGAGACATCTGGAGGTTCATGAATGGATCCCAGGACAGTGTGGGGCCAGCCCATCAAGCAGGGTCTGAAGAGGTCTAGTCAGGACTTGCACAGTTGGACCTCCCAGCCAGGCCCACAGCACTCCCATGCCTGGAGACTGGTGTCCAGTGGGACAGCAGAGGGCAGAGGCCCCAGGCACCGGGAGACTACCAGGAACATGTGATACAACTCTACAACAGCAATACACCTCCGGACTGAGGCTTCCAGGGACCAAAACCAAGACAACTTGGGTTATTACAAGTAATGTGGGACCGCCCCCCTCGGCCCATTAACACAAGTCCTGTGAAAACAAACCAAAAGAACAGAAAGCCACAAGTGCCCCAAAGATGTGGAAGAACTGGAACCTGGGACATAGAGGATGAAGAAAAATGATGTGACAGTATATTGGTCTCTCAGAATCAAGCCTCTCAAGTGGCCATGTACTCCAGCAATGGGTCCAGAGGACACACGTGTTCACAGTTGGGTTATCACAACATGTCTACCAGCAGAAAAGGGGAGGAAGATAAAGTGTTATGTCTGCTAACCGGAATAGTACTCAGCCTCATAAAGGAGTGGGATTCTGACCCATTCTGACCTTGGATTTGCAGTTGGCAGAACAGTGAGCAATGAATGCCTGGGTGCAGCCACTGGGTCACAGGAGCCCCGGTGAGCCCCACTGTATCTTCAGAGTGTTCCTGAGTTCTTCAAACAGCCCTTCAACAAAGGTATGTCCCCACCATTGACACCCAGGGAACTGCAGGCTTGGAGGAAGGAGGAACCGGGTCACTTACTCAGTCACACCCCTGGAAAGTGCCACCCACGCCCCCAGGCTCTGGATAGATGTGCAAGGAAGCCAGCGAAGTTCAGTGGCAGAGGGTGAAGCCCTGCATGCCCAAGAAGGGGATCCCAGAAAGTGATGGTGTGCAGTCACCCTGGGGGCCTGCCAATCAGAGCTCCCAGGCTGCTCAGTGACTATAATACGAGCAGGCATTCCTACAACTTCCTCTAAGACAGGCTCTGAAATGAGTGCTGTGCACAGGTGAACTGTCACCCACAAAACCTCACAGCACACCTGGGGGGTTCCCATCTCACAGATGGGGAAACTGAGGCTCAGAGGTGTGACGCACTGTACCACATACCCTGTGAGAGAAAGTGCTTGGACTTTATCTTATCCCAGACATCCATTGTCTCTCATTCTGTAGGTTGGTGTGCCCCGGTTCTGGGAAAACAGACATTTATCTCAGGTCATAATGGTCCTGGGCTTCCCAGGCTCAGTCTGTATCCTTCATCAGAGCTCTGGGCAAGGGGACAACCATTATATGACCAGATGTCTCAGGGACAGACCCCTTGCCAGTATCTCCATGGCCACCACATGGTTGGGAGAACACAGCCCTCCACGGCCACCTCCCCTCCCGTTAGCAAGAGGAGTCCTCCCCGCAACTGATGTTTTCCCTAGTCTTATTTTCTCTGCTTCTCCCGCTCTCTTTACATACCCTGCCCCCATTCTCCTGTGTCACCTTCTGGTTGGGATGTGGAAGGCTCTTTGTTCTGTATAAATTTGTGAACAAGAACACACGAGGGAACAGTCTTTCAATGCGGGGAAAGTGCGCCCCCTTGTGGAGACAACTCTTCCTGGTCTATAATGGGCTCCTGCCTCACCTGGCCCAGGATGAAGGGCGAGGGCCTCTCCTTTGCCACAGTGAGCCGGCCTTTGACGCCACCTCTACCCCAGAACTGGGAAGAGGCACGGAGCGTTCACATGGAGCCAGAACTCTTGGAAAATAGTATGTCCCAAGAGCCCACTCAGATCAGCTGCCCAGATCTGGACATATTTATATATGTCCATTATAAATATGCCCCCTGGACATATTTAAATATGAAGCCACAGGGGGTGGAGAGGGCTTAATGAGAACACTTTGCTCTGCACACATGAGGACTTGAGTCTGAATCCCTAGTGACCATGTAAAATGCCAAACATCACTGTGGGTGCCTGTAACCTCAGCATGCAGGGAGGCTTAGGGCAGAGGTACCCGGAGATCCCTAGGTCAGGAAGACTATTCTGTATAATTTGTGCTTGATGGATCAGTGCCCTTAAGCTTCTGTGGAACACAGAGTATAGCGTGTGAACCCCGATGTAAAGTGTGTCAATATCGGCCCCCCAGGAGGAGCAAGCATGCTCACTATCGCAAGATGTTAATAACTAAAAGGACCGAGGGTTTATGGTTTATGGAAACTGGACTCTTTCTGCTTATTTTTCTATACACTTAAATTGTCTTCCCCCCACCCCTGAACCCTATATAAACAAATCAGGATGCATGGGAGACAGAAAAACAGGGGAGAGAGTGTCGCCACACTTGGGGAAATCCCCACCTCATCTCATGGTTTTCTGTCCATGTTCTGGGGTAACCCAGAGCTGGCTTCCTTGGAGCCCAGGAGGTCCAGACACGAGGTTTGTGGGGTGAGATCGCCACCTGCTGGCCAGGAAAGACATTGCCAGTTGTACCCAGTGTCCTTTGCTGGGTGTTGGATGGTGGGGTGGCACTCAGGGTGCTCCCCACCTTCTACACACACCTTGTGTGTCGCATCTGATTGCGTTATCATTAAAGACCTGGAGAAAGGTGAAACTCTCAGGAGTTTATTAAAGAAAAGTCCCAAAGTGCGGGGGCACAGCCAGGCCAGGGCTACCTGGAGGACTGGCCTGTGGTTCTGCAGCAGCAGACAGGGAGACCCTTGCTATTGAGGCTCTGGAGGTCAGAGGGGTAGGAGCTCTGGCCACCTGCCATCAGTCCCCCTCTAGGTAAGGACTGCCTTACACACTGCCCATCACCAACAGTTCAGACTCCGCTCTCAGCACCCTCCCAGGTCCGAACACAGTTGGAGGTAAGTTCTAATACAACCCTTCCTTGTTTTACATGCGAGGAGCAGGAGACACAGAGCAGCTCGGTATCTTGCCCAAGGGCACACAGTCAGTGAAGGGTGGACCGAGGCTCTGCCTCGAGAGTCCGTGCCCTACCGTGAAGCCACCTTTGTCCCCTGGTTCCCTCAACGGAGAAGTAGGTATGTCATTCCACAACCTGTCTGGGCTGGAGGAAGAGCCAGGTGTGAGCATGTTAACCCGAAGTAAGCGTCCAGCAGGAGGCTCGGGAGGGAGCCCCGCAGAGCCCACGGGTGGCTAGGGCTGCAGCTCATACTGGCCCTCCGTGGCAGTGTAGAAGTCTTCCAGCACCGACTGCAGAAACTCAAAGGTGGGTCGCTCCTCTGGCCGGCTCCGCCAGCACTCAGTGATGATGTCACGGTACAACTCTGGTGGACACGCCTCCGGGCACGGCATGCGATAGCCATGCTCTAGGCTTCGGATGACCTCGGGGTTGCTCATTCCTGCAGGAGGGTGGGCAGGGTGCATCAGGGCAGGTGGTGCCCCAGGAGTGCCGTGACGGGCCCTGGGGGTGGTAGACCAGCACTAGATGGGAGACAGCAGGCTCTGACACACTATGGCCAGTCTAACCCTGGAAGGTCACATAGGTGTCGGGTCATACCGTTTTGTTTTTTTAAACAGGGTTTTCTTGTATAGCCCAGGCTAACCTTGAACTCAATTTCTGTCTGTCCCAGCCTCCTAAGTGCTGGGATCATAAGCTTGAGCCATTACATCTGGTTCTGGGGCCATCTAACTTTTTTTTTCTAATCTGTGTGTGTGAGAGTGAGAGCAGAACAATGGGCAGAGGGCAGAGGGCAAAGGGCAAAGGGCAGAGGATAACATCCAGTGTCTTTCGTTGCCTTAATTCGTGTTTGAGATAGGGTCTCTCTATGTTATTTGCCATTGCATACTCCAGGCTAGGTGGCCTTTGAGTTTCTGGGGTCTCTCCACTCTCTCCCCCATCTCACTGTAGGAGTGCCAGGATTACAGACCTGCTCTGCTGTGCCCAGAGTTACCCCTGGGTTCTGGGGAACCAGGATCAGGTCCTCTATGCTTGCCTATCAAGCACTTCACACACACACACACACACACACACACACACACACACACACACACACACACACACACACACACACACCCCTGAGCCATCTCCCCAGCCTTGGTGACATATTTAAGGATGCCTTTTACTTTACACTGTTTGGAGAAGAGCTGGGAAGGAACTATGGGGTTTTCAGCAATCATAGGCAGCTTCTCCTGGATGTGCATTCGCTATGGAAGTATTCGCTGGAGGGGGATGCTGTGGAAAACAACCACCCATAGCTGCCACCTGGGCTCTCCTGACTTGGGCAGAGAGTCCAGGTCCTCACCTCAGGACAGAACTTTGGAGATCCCACCCTGAAGGGTGATGTTAAGCTGAAAATCTTGTCCTCAACCTACAAGCTGTCTTATAGCATTCACTGTGCTTGCTCCTGGGGATCCATATAAGCTCTTTGGGAGGAAGGATGAAGCCCTGTAGCCCTGAGCAATGCTAGCAAGGAGACAGAAGCCCACAGTCAAAATGCAGGTCTGGGCCTTAGTCCCTGTGACAGGACCCTGCCCTGACCAGTATGTGGTACCTGTGATGGGACCCTGCCCTGACCAGTATGTGGTACCTATGATGGGACCCTGCTCTGACCAGTGTGTGGTCCCTGTGATGGGACCCTGCTCTGACCAGTGTGTGGTCCCTGTGATGGGACCCTGCCCTGACCAGTGTGTGGTCCCTGTGATGGGACCCTGCCCTGACCAGTATGTGGTCCCTGTGATGGGACCCTGCTCTGACCAGTGTGTGGTCCCTGTGATGGGACCCTGCTCTGACCAGTGTGTGGTCCCTGTGATGAGACCCTGCCCTGACCAGTGCATGGTACCTATAGGTACCGAGCCTGGGGAGCCACCCTGAGGATGTTCCAGGAGGATGGTGAGAAGTCCAGGGGCAGTCAGTACCTACCCGGGTAGGGAACACGTCCATATGTGATGATCTCCATCAGCAGGACTCCGAAGGACCATACATCAGCCTTGATGGTGAACACCCCGAAGTGGATGGCCTCTGGGGCAGTCCACTTGATGGGGAACTTGGCCCCTGCCAGGAAAGCACATTAGCCCTAGGGACCGCCAACTCTCCACCCTCATCCCATAGGCTTAGCCCTGTTTTCTCAGTCTCAGGAGCCAGCCTGAAGTCCCCTGAGGAGAGGTATGGATCCCCAGGCCTTGGCTATCCTCCTGACTCTACCACTTAGGGTGCGTTCAACCCACACTGCTTGCTTGCTCAATGCACTGAAGTCTTCCTGCAAAGTCAATTCTCCTCCCTCGTATTAACAGAGCAGAGCTCCATGGCAACCCTCACTCGGGTGCGAGAGTGGGATGATTATGTTTTAGTTAGGGCCACGTCTTCCAGGGTGTGCTCCATGACCCCCTTCCTTCCACAGGAGGTTGTTAGGAACTGGATGGGAAAAGTATTTTCTCAACTTAGTCTGGGGATCAGCAGGTGAGACAAGGGCTCCTCAGTTCCTTTACTAGATTCATGTGCACAGGAGTCTCCAGGTCGGGGAGGGAGATAGTTCAGCATTCCAAGGCCGTTAGGAACAAAGGGTCCCAAGGTGCTCCTTTGCATGAGATGCTTCTCTGCCCAGCCTCCCTCCATCCAGGGAAAGGAAGCACTGCACTAGCCGGGAAAGAGCCCAGCGACATGGCAAACACAGGCCCATGGTCTCCCTACCCATCTCCAACACCAAGGAGACGTTCAAGGGGGCTTCAGGGAACTGAGAAGTGCAAAGGCCTCCCTGTGGGTGGGGGGAGAGTCTGCTCACCCTCTTGGGCAGTGTATTCACTGTCGATGATCCTGGCCAAGCCGAAGTCAGCGATTTTGCAGCCCAGGCTCTCAGACACCAGGATGTTGGCTGCCCGCAGGTCACGGTGGATGGAATTCATGCGTTCAATGTAAGCCATCCCTTCTGCGATCTGAGGGGACAGGTCACACGGTGAAAGGCAGCAAGAATGGAGCCCACCAGCCTCACATCCCCTGCCAGGTGATGAGGAACAAGGCTGGGTGGGGAGGGGGGGCGCAGAGAAAGCATCCACCCCTCCCCATGAGACCAGCGCAGAGCCCAGGGCAGCAGAGAAGCTGCTGTCAAACACCCTAGGCTGACATCCACACCCTGTCCTCCCTTTCCAGGCAACTGTCTCCCAGGTTCTGCTGACCAGGGAAAGCAAAAGAAGGCTGGGGCTGAGGGAGGGAGAAGAAGGGATGGACAGGGTGTACAGGGATAGCAGGGAAGCACAGGGTTGCTCCCTCAGTGGACACTTCTCTCGGAAGAGCCAACTACGCCTTGGAATCACTAACTTCCAACAGGCTGTGTCACTTCCTGGGTATCGGGGAGGTCACAGTTCTGACCTGGGACTTGAGAAGCCATCTCTAGCACACAGAGTTAGGGTCAACGTTGAAGGCGCTGACTATGACTGAGTCCCTGAACCTGCACCTGCCCTAAGGTGAGAGTGGAATCTAGGGGAACAGAGGTTCTCGTAGAAGAGGAGTCTTGTCTGTCCCGAGCACCTGAGCCAGGTCATTAAGGCTTTGGTCACTCACTGATAGATGGATATAGTGACCTCAGTTCTCTTCTGTTCCTGCAGGCTGCCGGCCTCTGAACGGATCCTACTTGCCTAGTAACTCAGGTACATACTCTCACAAACTTCCCTTGGGGGAGGGTCTTTGTGCAGTGGGGTTAAAAGAGAATGGGCAGAGAGAGATAAGGAAAAGGAATGACCTGACCCGAGATAAGGAAAGGCTCCTGACCAGCAAGTGCCTGCCTCAAAGCCAGTGGCCAGGGTTAGCTTTCTGCACCCACCCTACCAGCCGCCTCAGTAGGTCTCTGCTACCCCAGTGGAAAAAGACTCTGTGACCTCAGTTCCTGAGCTTGATGCCAGCTGCAGATAATACGGGACAGCGTAGGAAGTCACAGTGGGCAAGCGGGCATGTGGGGTAAAGTGTGGGCAACAAGGCTCCCCTTCATAGCTCTGTATGTGTTGACAGCATGTCTCACGGGCTGACCACAGACCACAGCTTTCTTGCTGAGAGTTCCAGTTTTAACAGCTGCACTCAGAGCCACCAGATGTGTCTTCCTGCCAGTTAGACCCCTCAGCTAGAATCCCCCGGGGAGAAAGACACCTCCCCATCTTGATTCTGCTCTCTCCTCACAGAAGCTGGAGACTTCTATCCATGGACCCAGAGGGAACCAAAGGTCAGTCCAGACGAGGTCTGGAATTCCCTGATGGTAGATGTGCGTGAGTGCGTGCATACATGCGTGTGTGTGTGTGTGTGTGTGTGTGTGTGTGTGTGTGTGTGTGTGTGTAGGAGGTGTTTCTAGAATGTTATGTCCCTTGTACTATACATGGATCATGCCTGCCAATGAGGCTAGGGCCAGTTCCAGGGCTGCATCAAGACTTGGGAGTTCTGGGACAGGATGGATGCGTTGAAGAACAAAGTCATAGCAAAGCATGACTGCCTACCTACTAAACAGAACTCTTGCCTACACCCTGGCTTTCCAACACCGGATGCCATCTCTACCTTCCTAATATCCCATCATGGCTGCCCAGAGTCGGAACTACATTTCCCAGACTCCCTCGCAGCCAAGTGGGTCATTGAGGCAAGTGGAGTGGGGAGGACATGTAAGAGCAAATGTAACGGGAATGTCCTTAGAGTGAAGAAGGTGGAATTTTATCCCCATCCCCTTCTTGCTGGCTAAGAAGAGGCAGGGGTGGGTGGTAAAGACAGCAGTCATCTGACATCGTAAGGTGTCATTCCATGCTAAGAGTCTGTGCCCAGCAGAAGACATCAGTGGGCAGAGCCTCTCATCTGTCCACCTCTAGGTGCTTATACATTTAGAACTTCAGGCTTTCTGTCCTTCACAGCCCAGCTCACATCTGACCAACACAGCCTCTCACCAGGGGATTCAGTATAGTCACAAAGCACAGAGGGGGTATCATCACTCCAGGATTCCTCTGCCTCATAGTTCACCAACCTGGGCTGACATGTCAATCAGCCTTGGAAGGGACAATCTGCTACCTTCATCGGTCTTCAGAAAATCCAGCAAGCATCCTAGGAAAAGAGAGACAGTGAGTGCAAAGTGGCTAGACCCCGGCTCTGTGGTCCTGGTCGGTGGAGGGTCTGCCTATGTCTGAGGAGCCTCATACTTCATGGGAACTAGCCCCTAGACTTCCAAACGTTAGTTCTCAGCCAAGTTCAGGGACCTGTCTGCGGTCTCTTAGGTCAGCAGAGCTGGAGTTAAATGCCAGTTCTGGGCCTGAGGTTAGTGTTCTTTCCAAGCATGATGTTCCCACGTGTCTTCCTAGGTCCATTTCCCTCCTTGATGGAAACTTCCCTTGAGGGAAGCATGAACAAGAAGACACCAGGAGGGAGAGCTGGAGCTTGTAAAAACAAACAAACAAACAAACAAACAAACAAACAAATAAAACGAGACTACTCCACTGCCAGATAGGTGCCAGGAGGCAGGCACCCAGCACAGTCTGTGATGCCAGCTCCCGTGGTGACAATTATTATAATTAGCATGGTCACATTGAGGACCTGCAGGAAGCAAGGTAACATCAGGGCCATACGAAGGGCGAGGTCCCTTAGGCAGAAGGTAGAGCCAGGTCTGATCTCTGGTCAACTGTCCCCTGTGGAGACACTGCAGAGGCCGCCTGACCTCATACAGAGGCTGCTGGGCCCCATTTCCCCTGACACCCGTTCCTGTGAAATGTTCACAGGCTTGGCAACGTTCCCATAACTGGGAAGAGGTGGAACTGGGTTCCACCTTTGGATGCCCAGCCTATGGCTCTTTCTACTTTGCAAGGCTCTGTCCATCACAGTGGGGATCAAAGTATGATGTGTGTGCTGCAGAAACAAAAATGAGGTTCTGGAAACACAGGGCATGCTCTGGGAGTAGAAAACATACTCCAGAAGCAAACTCCATGCTCTGGAAGGCTGCGCTTCCCAAGCTGAGAACAAAGCTCTGTGAAGATGCTTCTCCCTTGTTTCTCAGCTCCCCGCCTCATACGATAAAGCTTACAGATCCCCCATAGGAACCCCCAGGTCAGGCCAACCCACCACCATGCTTCACTCTCGTTTCTGCCCTCTCAGCCTTGTCCTGTAGAGAGAGGAAGGGCCCCACCTCTGGCCATGTACTCCGTGACAATGTAGATGGGCTCTCTGGTGACCACGGCGTAGAGACGGACCAGCCTCTCATGCTGCAGGGTTTTCATCATGTTGGCCTCGCCCAGGAAAGCTTCCGGAGACATGGTTCCCTCCTTCAGGGTCTTGACGGCCACCTTCAAATTGTTTTTGTAATAACCTGACAGGGCAAGGGAATGGAGGAGCCACTCAGGCATGGGAGGAAACCCTTCACCACAGATTCAAGCCCTACTCTATGTGGGCCCAAGGTCCAAGCTGGAACATGCTGTTCCTAAGAGGAATGGATGATAAGAGAGCATGTCTTGTGTAAGATGCCAGCCTGTCTCTACAGACCCATGATGGAGCCTCAGGCTGTGGTGGGATTCATGCAGTCTGGGGGAAATAGGACGACATCCACTGAAGGGTATAGGCAGTAGCTGGGGCTTGCCCTTCCCAGGGTTTTGAGCCTTGTGAGGACCAGGTCTATAGCTCCAGCTAGAGGTGCCTCAGTTCTGGGTGTGAGACTCTGGGAGGCATCAGAATGGGACTTAGAAGTCGTGGAGCAGAATAAGGCAAAGGGCCTTATGTTATGCTTGGAAAGTGTTGTAAATACACAGCAGCAGCAGCAGCAGCAGCAGCAGCAGCAGCAGCAGCAGCAGCAGCAGCAGCAGCAGCCGCTATGATGGAATGGTGTAGGCACTGGGGTCTGAGCTCCCACAGTCACACACCAGCAAGTGTGGCTTCTGTTTGCACAGACCCCAGAGCTCCTGCCTCCTGGCTCTTGCCTCCCAATGCCTGATGGATGGCTTCTGAGGACCTAATAAAATGGTCAAGTATACATAAGTCAGCCACAAAGCTAGCATCCAGTTGAAAATGAGAGTAACTGGTTTAAAATTAGGGAGAGCTGGATTCGAGTCTCTCCTACTACAAGGAAAAGAGAGCAACAATGCGGGTTCCTTGGCATCTGAGTCTTATTAGCTCATCTGTAAAGCTACATAGCTATGCCTCTGTCCCTCACAGGCATCTCAGGGAAGGGGGCGTGCTGCCCATATGGAACTGTCTGCCTCCGTGTCCACTTCAGGCTCAGAACACCGAGTAGAGTGAGGGAACCTGGGATGCCCACAACTCACCCATCCAGACTTCTCCAAACTGCCCAGACCCAAGTTTCCGGACCAGCTTAAGAGACTGCCGGGGGATTTCCCACTCATCCTGCGCCCAGGGGTTCTTCGGGGCTGGGCTCACACAGGGCAGGGTCAGTCTCTGGCACAAACCATCTCCCTTCTCTGTGTCAGGGAAGAAAAGAGAATCTGGAGGCCACCAGAGCAGACTTCCCTTAGGAACCACACTGTCCCCAACCGTGTCCCTTGTCTCCTCCCTCCCACTGTGGCAGGCAGGACATGATGTCTGGAGCCTGCACTCTCCTCTGAGACTGCAGGTCCTTGCTGCTTCCCAAGTAGCCCCATGTCAAGCATTAGGCCACTGATCTTAAATCATTAAACTGAGACTTGGCAATTCCTTAAATCCGGCTTGGCAGACACCGCCCCCCCCTCCCCCGCCGCTGCCGCCACCACCTCAGTTGATTCATACATTTTGTGATCGTACAATAGAGAACCCAAGAGTTCTCTGGGACCCTCGTGCCCCGACACCTCTTACTGGAATAATGCTCCACCAGGGCCTGGAGGGTGGGGAAGGTGATCCGTGGGGAGATGTAATAGCCACCGTCGTCCAGTGAGCGGATCTTATAGTGCTTGACCATCTCACCCTGGGTGGTGACATCCTTCACAGACAGGGAGAAGGCACCTGGAGGGTTAATAGACACATGAGAAGTGAGGCAGGAATGTAAATCCAGGACAGGGTTCCTGTGATCTGAAAAAGGTACCCCCAATTCGGTATTCTGCTCTCAGCCATTTCAACACAAATTCCCTTTCCTTTTGTCTTAACTCTCTACTCTCCCATTGGCTAACTGACCCAGACTTTCCCTCAAGTCCCCACACTGCCGGGGAATCAGGAACTCTGGGACAGACAGGACCGTTTCTCAGCTACACATGGGTCCTCTATCGGGGTGCCTGAGATACTGAGAAATGGAGGGTCGCCGGGGGACTTGGAGCTTTAACATCTTTGACTTGAGGCCTGATGACTTCCCCAGAGAAATGGCCAGTCGGGGCCTCCAGTTCCATGCCCTTCCCAGAAGCAGAGCAAGCTGTTCCCCAGAGGTCTTTCCAAATTCACACTGTGTTTTACAGCCTGTGTTGACATTTTCATACGGACAAGGAAGCAGGTGGCAGAGGGGTTAGTACACAGGAAGGAAGAATTTTCAGCTAAGAAACGCCTTTCCTTGAGCCTTTATAAAATGCCTCTGCCCAGCCCTGTGGCCGCCACAGAATTTTCAAACTCTTTATTTGCGAGACGGGGACATTGAATGGAGGCCACCTGGAGAGGTAGCAGCAGGCTTTGGGGTGAGGGGGCACTCCACCCTCCCTGTAGACATGCCCTGGAGGAGCAGTCCCACCCTCTGCCACAAGGGGTCAGGCCTGGACACCTCTCCGCATGAGGACGTTGATCCTGTGCGGTGCTAATTGTTTTGGGTGTTTTCCTATCTCAAGCCTCTTCCCTGCTTGTGTCTTTCTTGGCCAATGTGACCCTCACAACCTCGTTGCGAAAGAACGCCAAGAGGCTGCGCTCCTGTCCAACACACCTTGAGGGTGCCACAGCCCTCGCCCCTGGACCCTAGATTGGATACTGCAGACCTCCCCACCCCACCCTGCTCCTTGCCGGCGTGCCTGGGTCTCTAAGGACCCAGAGCGGGCACTGTGGAGTTGATCATCCTCACGCCAGCACAATGAGGTCAAGAGCTTTTCTCGCCAGGATGCTGCACCTGTGTAGTTTCCTGGCTCTACGCCAAAGCATCTCTTTCTTTCCTTCACTAGATACAGCTCCTGAAGCTTGAAGCCCTCCAAGGTCCTGCCTACCTTATGGCAACTGAGTATTCTTAAAGAGCACCCCAATACCGTCAGCTCCATGTCCATGGGACCTCCTGCCTTTGGGAAGTCTCTGGGCTGCCTGGGGCATATGGAGAAGTATGGATTTGTTTTTGTTTTTTTCCAAAGCAGGGTTTCTCTGTGTTGCCCTGGCTGTCCTGGAACTCACTCTATACCAGGCTGGCCTCGAACTCACAAAGATCCACCTGCCTCTGCTTCCCAAGTGCTGGGATTCAAGGTGTGCACCACCACATGGTATGGGTATTTAAACACTTGTTTTTATTGTATGTGTATAAGTGAGTTTTTTTTTTTTTTTTGCTTGCATTTATGTGTACCGTGTGTGTGCAGGGCCCAGAGGCCAGAAGAAGTTGTCAAATTCCCTGGATTGGAGTGATAGACATTTGTAAACTACCATGTGGGTGTTGGGAATTGAACCTTGCTCCTCTGGAAGAGCAGCAAGTGCTCTTAACCACTGAGTCTTCTCTATAGCCTCACCGTTTTTTTGTTTTGTTTTGTTTTGTTTGTTTGTTTGTTTGTTTTGTAAGAAAAAATGTACTTTTAAAAATTCTTTTGACAGGTTTTTTTTTTTGTTGTTGTTGTTGTTTTGTTTTTCAAGACAGGGTTTCTCTGTGTAGTTTTGGTGCCTGTCCTGGATCTCGCTCTGTAGCCCAGGCTGGCCTCGAACTCACAGAGATCTGCCTGCCTCTGCCTCCCAAGTGCTGGGATTAAAGGCGTGCGCCACTGCCACCCGGCTAGTTTTGACCCTGTATAATGAGTCACAGTCATTTTCATTCACCACCACCCTCTCTCAACTCCTACTCACCCCTACTAAACCCTTTCTTCACAGATCCCTTAACACTGAGTGGTCCATCTACCTTTCAGCTAGGATGTTAGTGGATCCTCACATAGAAAGCAATAACCAGCTGCTTGAGAAGCTGAGGGGCATCCCAAGGGTCACATGGGGCATCTGTGGCAGCTTCTTGCTTGGCTTGCAAATAAAGGCTATGGCTTTGCAATGGAGGGTGGGATGCTGCTTCGAAATTATGAGGAGCATGCGTGTACACATGGAGAATCGCACGGTGTTGAATGAAAAGCCACAATAGACACAGCACTGTGGGAGGCTAGAAGGGAGTGAAAGTTAACCCAAGAAAAGAGGAGAGGCCTCTCGACCAACCAATCACCTCTCAGGGAAGAGCCAGTGGAGGAGTGAGGGGCTCTTCTTCTTCTTCTAGAATCTTCTGCCTTCTGGCTGTGGTTACACAGGGGTCTACCTATTGCTCTGTATAATTTATATCCACTCATGGTGTTTTGAATGCATTGTACATGCTTCCTACTTTATAATAAAAAGGATATTAAGGAGCTGGGGTGGAGTTCAGGGGTAGAGGGTTCAGAGCTGGGGTAGAGGACTTGACTAGTGTTTGAGGTCCTGGGTTTGATTCCGAGAACCACAAAAACAAATCAAAACCAAAGCCATTAGAAAGGAGTGTCAATTGGATGTGGCGGCACAGGCTTGTGATCCCAGCTCCCAGCAGAGGCAAGAGGAGCAATACAAGGTTAAGGTCAGCCTAGACTACATAGCAAGACTCTCTCAAAAAATAATAAATAAACAAAGAGAGCGATGGGGGAGAATATTATTTAGAAAATGTCAGGAGAAGGGAGGGAAGAAGAACAGTGACCCGAGGCTGGAGGCAGCAACTGACTCAGTCCCAGACAGATTTGAATCCCTGAGTCTTGAGTGTTGGCTCTGATTTTGTTGTTGTTTGCTTGGTTTTTCAAGACTGGGTTTCTCTGTGTATCAGCCCTGGCTATCCTGGAACTTGTTTTGTAGACCAGGCTGGCCTCAAACTCACAAAGATTCACCTGCCTCTGCTTCCCACGCGCTGGGATTACAGGCGTGCACTACCACACCTGGCAGCTTCTAATTCACCAGGCATTGGCCCATCTACAGCTGGACACAGGCCACTTCCCAGCCTCCCGAGACCTGCCAGCCTCTGCCCAAGATGCTTTTTAAAGATTCTCTGAGCTTCTTGACTCTTTAATTCCAAAATGTGGCCAGGGACTGAGAGCTTTATGGTACCTTTCCTTTCTCAGCCCCCATCTGCCTCACTTCGCTAGTCTGACCACCACAGCATAGGGCTTTCCATTCCCCCTGCCATCCAGGTCCCAGCGGTATCAGTCTTGAGGCCAGGAGAACAGCGGGTGTGGACAGCCTCAAAGCCAGCTCCCAGGCAGGGACACAGGACAGAAGCCATGGGGAATCCCTCCCACTCTAGACTGAGGCCTCAGTGGGGCCTCCCCAGGACCACGCACAGCAAGTGGGACGGTGAGGTTCCCGGACTCACCTTTATTGCTCTCACTCTCTCTGATGAGGAAGGCGCCAGCCTTGTTCATGGGAGCCAGCAGCTGCCTCTCGGCATCCTTCCGGCTGATGGTCCTGAAGAACCATCTGGAAAACAGCTAGAGTGAGTGAGCCTCAGAGTTGGTGACAACTCCCCCCCAAGTCAATCCTGAGGTGTTCCTCACATCTCGTTCAGTTAGATGCCCATAAGTCCCTGCAACCCTATTCCATCCCATCTCCCATCATCCTCCAGGCTCATGTTTTCCCTGAATGAAGTGAAAACATGGGTTAGGTGATGTCTATTAGTGTCAGACTGCAAAAATCACACCTGATCCACTACCCTCCCCCCGCACCAGATGTAGTCATGAGGTTGACATTTTCCTGCCATCTGAGTGAATAACGGTACTGCCAGGGGCTTTTCTGGGCCTGGATTCCTTCCAAGTCCCCTGTCTTCAGTGTGAGGCTTTTGTCACTTGCGGTCGGATGTAAAATGCTCCCTCCAGGCTCGTATGTTTGAGTATGTGGTTCCAGCTAGTGGTGCCGTTTTGGAAGGTTGTGGAACCTTTAAGACATGAGGTCTAATTGGAGGCCACGGGGGTGGCACTTGAGGTGACAAGCCAGCTCAGCTTCCCTGCTGGAGCTCTGGCGAATTCCTGGCCCAGTGAGATGTGAGAGGCCCCCCAGCTGTACATTCCTACCACCATGAACTCTACTATGTTTCCTACCACGATGGACTGTACTCTCTTAAAACCATGAGCCAAAATAAATCCTCCCTTAAACTCTGTGTGTGTGTGTGTGTGTGTGTGTGTGTGTGTGTGTGTGTGTGTGTGTTTTAATAGTGACAAAAGACATAACTAATACAACATGGTTCTGGAGAAAGACCCAGGGCCGACACAGGGTGTGGGAAGGGAAGGGAAGGAGGCGAGTGTCACCACCGTGAGATGGTGCGTGCCCCTGTCTCTGCACCATGTGGGGGAGTAGGTGAGTGGCCTGGGTGGACCTTGGAAGTTGGTGATGAGAATGCTGAAGAGGCCCTCTGGGGACGGTCCCTAGAGGGGGTGGAGGACACAGAGCCTTGCTGTGGATTCTGGAGGGGACCAGACAGGATAGCCTCATCCAGAGAAGCCGGGAAGCAGGTGGCTCTTCTTTCAGACGGGAAGACAGACTTCCTCGGCATCCCTCAGAGCGTTAGAAGACATCCAGAACCTATGACTCCCAGCCCCTCGCCAACAGCCGCCATGAGGCCACTTCCTGGCCCTGCCGCACTCAGAGTGGCTGGGGCAGCCCTGCCACCTCTGGCTTGAGGCAATTTATCCACCTACTTTTCTACTTCCAGAGTTTCCACTGGGGCCACAAAGTTGCTGGGCACATAGCCTTCTCTTCCGGTGATGAGTGACCTGGCCAACCACCAGTCTCCAGCGCTAGTGGGAAGAGGGGGGGACAGAAACATGACAGAGGCTCCCCCAAGGTGTTTTGGGCTGCTCCCAGCCCCCCCCCCAAACAGATCCCACTCTGGTAGGAGACAGGATGGCAGAGACGGACGGACAGTCTGGTGATAAGGAGGTGCTGTGTGAGTGGCCCATCCACTGTGCCGAGCATGTGACAGGCAGGAGAGGTCCTGGAGCAGAGCAGGAAGGGAGGACACATTGCCTGGACAGTGTGACTGGCCTGAGGACCATGTCGTTTATTAAGCAGCCCCCATCTTAATGGGTGGAAATGTCCAAAATTATGGAATGAGTTGGGACTAAAACAAAACCAGGAGGGCTGCTGACAAGGGAGGACCTGGAAACCCATGTAGGGTCAAAGGTCAGGGCACTTATGGGTTCTGCTCAAACCCACTGCAGAACTTTAGGAACCAATCAGACCTCGAGGTTCCGTGACATAGGCTTGAAGGGCGGAGGGAGGGAGAGGGAGAACACGGGCAGACATTGACATTGGAGGGTGTCCTGAGAAAGAACACAGGAAATAAGCCAAAATGGAGTTCCTATGTGGGGTCCAGAGGGGCTTCATGTTAGATTTTAACAGCAGAGCAGAAGGCTGGAAGTGGAAATGACTCGGCCAGAAAGACCTGGAGGGGAGGACAATGGCTCCGGCTACAGAGAATACTGGGAGACAGGAGGGGGGTGTGGCAATGTGGAAGACCCTCAAGGGGCGCCCCGGGGATGTGGTGGGTGAATGAGGGAGGCGGACAATGGGGGGGTCCTGTGCTGACGGGGGGGGGGGGTATTCTAGAAATTTACCTCTTCAAGACCTGGAGTTTCTCCCCCTTCAGCACCTGCAGGTCCCTGTCATTCACGGCCGCGTAGTCAAACAGGGCCACCACAAAATGCTCCTCTGAAAAGAACAAGGGAAAGATGGCTACCACTGTGACCCACAACAGAGGTGGAGGTCTGGGGGACGGTGTGGTGCAAGCCATCTTCCAGCTCCCAAGAGGATTAGTGGCAGGGAAGCCACGTGAGGCTACTCTTTGGACAAGAAGGGGAATTCTCAGGAAGTGACACCTAGACCCATCCATGTCCAATCTAGGAGTAGGCTGGCTCTCAATGTCTGGCTCATCTTCCTTTCAGACCTCAGGCCTGGGCAAAGATTTGGGAGGGTGGCTACATGGAGGCAGCCATTGCCAGCCCTCAGAGGGCTTTAAGCCCAAGTCCGGGATCCTGCGTCCAGCCTGCCTCTGACGCATCCCCTCAGCATCCTTTCCCAGCCTCTATCCCAGAGGTCATGTAACCACTCTATTCCTGCTCTCTCCATGGCATTTGTGCCCAGAGCTTCCCAGTGGCCCTCAGCACTTGTCCTTCCTGGCTCTGTGCCTCTCCTGGAGGACTGTTGACATGCTGGAGGCCCTGAGGCAGCAGTAGGCTCGGGAGCATGGAGGACCACCTTTCAGATGATCACGGTTTGGCACCAGGGACCCCTGAACACCTGGCAGAATCTCTTGGAGACTTGTAGCTTGCAGATGACCTAGCATTGTCATGGATGAGTGGGATGGCCTGAGGCTGGGACCTTCCCTTGGTGGGAGGAGGTTTGGCATGAATGACAGGGGTCCCTGGCAGTGTTGAGACTCAGACTTGTGCCAAAGGCTCAGTTACTTCCTTCCCCTAAGCTTCCCTTCTGAAGAGGAGACACCACTCCCTGTTAGAAAGTGAGGGATCACCTGTCTGATGGGAAAGATGGTGACCTTAGCCAGGGAAGGGACACCAGTTTCAGCACTTTGCTCATAAAGGTAACAAGCTGGCCTCTCTCAGGACAGGAGAGGTGTGTTACCCACTGTGACATCTTCCCCTGTCCCGGAACACAGCAGTTTGCATGCTGCAAGCTCCACGTCCTCTGTGAGTGAGTGAAGGGATGGCTGGTGTGGATGGGTGACGGGGATGCTGTGGAGGCCAGTTCTGAATGAGGCCCCATCCAGGGAGCCCTCGAAGCCTGAGTCCTGGCCCAAGAGGAGGCTCATTCATTATGTGACCACCATAGGGTGGAGTCTGGGATGAAGGAGGAAGGAAGCACGTGTGACTAGAAGGTTTCCGGTGGAGACTGGACATAGATGGGAAGAGGCAGGCAAGACGTTGTCCTCCATGTGGACCAGGCCTTGTGCTGAGAGGGAAGGACAGAGCAGTCCTGCTGCCCTTTGAGTCTGGGGGCTAGAGTCTGCCAGCCAGGTCTCGACAGTGCAGATGCACTCCCGTAAATAACTCTTTCCTTGGTCTCCTTTGCGGCTCACAAAGAGGTTCTTAAGCTCCCAGCCTCCCCTGCTCCTTTCCAGCCCTATAGGGCTCGCCCCAACTGCTCTGGCAACACAAGATGTGGCCTGGAGAGATGCCCCAGTGCCCCATTCCTACCTTGATCTGGTTGCTGGTTCAGAGACGGAGGGGCGAGGTGGTTGAAGACAATCTCGGGCAGAAATACAGAGTTAGTGAGCAGTGCGCAGCAAAGGTAGACTGAGGAACTAGAGATCCAGTTGGCAAACTGGAGATCCAGTTGGCTAAGTAACCTGTGGGGACCCACTCCAAGGAAGGACAGTGGCCACCATATGGGGATACTTAGATAAATTCGTATACACCGTCAACTCCTTGGAGCACCAGTCACCCAGGCCACCTGCCATCCTTGCCTTGACCATGTATGGAGTTAACCCAGCTTCAAAGGAAAAAAAAAAAAAACACTGCCACCTTCTTTAAAATCCTGGCTCTACAATTAAAGAAGATGTTGCAGACAGGTATTTATTGGCAAAGAAAAATATTTTAAAATTGTGTTTCCCAAAAACTCAATCAGTATTCACTGGTGTCTATCCCAAGGGTTGACTTCTGTTCACTTGTACCAGGACACAGTATGAGGATATGCCCAGTACAATAGTAGTCACACATAAAGCATTTTTTCATCATGGGAATAGCGTTTACAATCCATGACAGAACGATGAAACAATGAGCTATATCTACCATGCACCAGTGTGGTTAAATCTCACAAACACTGTGCTGGACCCATGGACTCCTATCACCCTGGAACTGAATCCCAAATAAACTCTTCCTTGAGTTGCTTCAGTTACAGTGTTTTATTACGGCAACAGAGAATGTAGCTAAGGGGCTCAGGAGAGACGATTCTATATCTCTGCAAGTGTGATAGTAAGGAATCGTCATCTTCCTAAAGTTAGTATCCATTGCACAGCTTTTAAAAATTAGGTTCTAGGTTTCTACTGGTTAGTATGTCACTTCGGGGAAACAACTTGACCTGTCTCAGTTTGAATTTGCCCATATACTCATTCATTCGTTCGCTCAATAAACATCTCACTGTGTTCATTCAGTCAATAAACTGTGTGCACTCGGACACAGTGACACTTGGACACAGCCAGAAGAGAGGCCAGGGCTCATCTATGAAAGGGAACCAGCAGTCTCTGCTCCTGTCAGGTCTCTGCTGGAATCTTGGTAATGCCCACAGACAGGGCAGGGCATCGGTCCAGGCATGATTACAATTGTCCCCAAACTAATAGATTTGGGACCAAGCAGAAAGTGAAATGAAACAGCCATCTAGACATTAAAGGGGCTGGTTTAGGGGGTGCCTGTGCCTTAGACTCTTTCCTGGAGGGGGCTGATGACTTACCAGGGGTGGCAGGGGTGGGGGAGCCTTGCTCTGGGCGTGGACCTTCACGGGGCTCCAGCCCTTGCCTTTCTCGCTACCGACCTGCCTCTTGCTGCTCAGCAGCCCCATCCTGTAGGAGAGTACGCGGCAGACAGTGACAAGAGATCACAAACCCTGGGTCCCTGCACCCAGCCTCCTTCTGGTTAGGAATACATGACAGCGCAGCTCTCCACATCAGAGCGTGGGAGAAGAGGCTGAAAGAGCTAAGCTGGTATCCATCTTCTTCTCAGTGACCCAGAAAGGGAAAATGACTGTGTTCAGGACACAGACATCACCTGGCGTGGGTTCTAGTTTCTCAGGGACAGGAGCCTGGGCAGAGGAGCGATCTTGATCCTGTAGAAGGCTGGCCCCATGTCTGGTGGTCTGGGTTTTAGTCTTATTTTGCCAGTGGGCCACTATGTCACTGGGAAGTCCCCCTTCCTCCCTGGGCCCACGGGCTCCTCTGTTGATGGTGAGATTTTATTTGATTATGTCTAATAGGGCACTCCGCAGCTAGAATTTTTGGGTAAGATGCCATATACAGAGGACAAACTGACAGGTAGCATGGTGGGCATTGAAGGTCAATCATAGTTGCCCAGTAACATTGGAAATTTTGTGTAGAGGTGAGATCATGGTCAAGTTTGTTCTTTGGTGAAGAATCTTAGCAGATGTGGGAAAGACCCAAATTCAGGCAGCAAAATTAATACATAATGTTTTCCTTGTTATTTTGATTATTGATGGGGTAAGGATGCAGTTATTTTTGTTTTTTAAAAAAGAGCAAAATAAAGATGTGAAGGAAAAAAACAGAAAATTTTAAGACTGTGTACATGTGAGTGTTAATGCAAAACATTGTCCCAAAGATATTTCTAGAATGTTAATATCATTTACTTCAGACAGTAGGACTTCATAGGACTTTTATTTTCTCTCATGTAATTTCCTATATTCCATGAGCACTTCAATAGTAAGTGAATACTCTTGAACAAGAAGAAAAGTTATGAGACCCTCTTAACAATTTGCCTAACAACAGCAGTACTTAGGGACTGGGAAAGAATAGTTCCTGAATAGACGAGACACCAAGTGGCTGGGACTCAAGTCTTTCCTGTGCTCCCCATCTCCAGTCTCAATGACAAGTCAGTGAGCAGTAGGTTCTAGAACTTTCTCTACACTTGGACATCTTCTGCCCCTGTTCAGATGACCACATTGTTGTTTTCCTCAATCTAGTCAGCCACCAAATTTGAACTTTCTGGAAAAACATGTCCCCTTAACCAGCAAAATTGAATATTTAAAGACCCCAACAGGAAGTCCAGCTCATGACCTAGTACTTACATTCCATGACCAACTGACTTTCCAGGGCTTTAGGGAACGCACAGCTTCTCAGTGAAGACCAACTACACACTAGTCATTTAGGAGGTGTAGTTGTGTGACAACTTTTTTTTTTTGTGACTGGGCTTGGGCTAACCCTGCAGTTTCAGGGTGATTGGAGACAGGAAGTGCAGAAGTCCACCAGGGCAGACAGAACACACATGTAACCCTGGTGTTTCAGGAGGCTTGGCTTCATCCAGAAGACAACAACCTCCCTTCCAAGAAAAGATGGGAAGAAGGTGTGAGTTTGCCTGTGTAAGTGAATGAATGTGTGTGCGCGCTCTCGCGATTTGTGGGTTCCCCAAAAGAAAACAGGAGACTTTTGTTGCTTGGAAACATACTTGACCCCCATGCAGACTCTCACAAGAGCCGGGAGGTCCCTGTTTGTCCCTGGGGAGGTGCTCAAAGCCTGAAACCCAACCTCAGCCAAACGGGATGTGGTGAAGGCAACAGTTAAAATCAGAGACAGAAGGCCTCGACTGACACCTGGTGTGTGTGTGTCATGGTTGAAAAGCACTGGACACCTCCAGTTTTGATGTTTGTGATAGCATCAGTGGCTTGGCTACGATAGTCCTTGCATCTGAAGCAGGAGAGCCCAGGAGGCTTTAAGATGGCGTGGAAGGTGGCAGAGCAGCAGCTCCAGGGCTGTGTCCAGCTCACACAGGAAGCAGGTGGACAGCTGACCCTGCCAGGACAGTTCAAGTTCAGATCCCCGCTTCTTCCCTGCAAGGGATACCACCTGCCTACAAAGCTTTCAAGGACACTTCTTTCTCCCCATCGTTCTAGCAACGGTGGCCAGGGCTTGGGTGACCAGAGCTCAGAACAGCCTGCCCACTGGCTTTATGAGCATGAGCAAATCATTTCACTTCTCTGAGTCTATCTCCTTGTCGATGGGAAGGTATGAGTCCATTCCTGGTACCACAGACAAAGCTTTCTGAAGAAGGTATCCTCAAACGTGGCTGAGAACGTTGAATAATTGACCTCTCATCTGGGATGGGGTCCAAGAGCTCTCTTTCTGCAGAATTAAACCCAAGTATGAAATTCTCAATTCCATCTTGTCCATTTGGCTTGTCTCTGCAATCCATTTCCAGCTGGTCACAAATGTATTTTAATCATGCCTTCCTGTGACAGTTGGCTATGGACATTTGCGTAAAATAAGGGCAACGTACACCAAAATATGGAAACAATTGTGTGAACTGGAGGCGAACAATTGTGTGCTGCCTGGGCAAAAGCAGCTGCCCTGACTCCGCGAGCTGTTGGCTAAGCAGTTCAAAGGCGGTTGTGACCGTTCAGTCGCTCCCTGACGTGCTCTGGTGTAGGCTTAGTGCGCAGAAGATGTCTGGGCAAGTTGATGCGTAAAGAGCAGACATGTAGGTGTAAAATGAAAGGCCAACAGCTTACACATAACTAACAAACATTGCCAAGTGGCCCCCGCAAGATGAAGACAAGTTAGAAACAAGGAAGAAACGGGACACTAAATAAACATTTTGTTCTGTTTTTGTTTCTCTTATATTTTGAACTAACACAGATGATAGCCTGTTTCCAGAGCTAGCACATGAGCTAGTGAGAGGTCTGTGGGCATCACGATTCTTTCCCTCCCCAGGGCTTTGCAATTTCCAAGGTGGTCCTGGGATGTATTGGGGTTCTCTGTCTTTTCTCTGGGGGCCAAAGCTTGGTATAAGAAATCTGCAGGTTTGGTAGTGGCCTGAAAGATGGTGGCCAGTGAGAGCCCCTTGGACTCAGCAAAGCATTGAGCCATTTATTGTACCTGCACTGGCATCACTAATCCAGAAACCCATGCTTGTTATTCTAGAAAGAGGGGACACCTGGTTGAAACTAATATCATGAGTGAAGTCATTTTTAGGGTATACGGCTTCAGGTCCGTCTGACTCCAATTCCTATTTTTGAGTGGCAGGGGCTGTCTGGTATTAGGTGCTCTTCACAGTTATCCTAACACTCCACCCACAGTGCACTGATGGGGGGCGGGGGTCACACAGTACAGTAAGCAAGAACAGAGTGTAATTGTTTGTCCTTCCTTAAGTTGCTTAGGATTTCAGTGTGTTAATTGGAGTAATGATTGTTTCTATGCCCCGAATTTCTAAAATATTTCCTATATTTCTATAAGGCCTGAATTAGTATTACTCATTATTAGTACATCTTAGAACAGTGCCTAATTCATCTAAATGTCTAATAGGCACCGCACTGTTATGCTAGAATCACAAACAGCCAATGGTTACAGTGTCTTCAGTAACCATGAGAGGTAAGTGTTACTAGTTCCTTTCTGCAGATGGCAGTTAGGGACAGCAGAAATCTGTCTGCCATCATGCTGTCAGGGAGCAGCAAGTTCAGCCTTCAGTCACAACTCAGCATCGTTCCCTCCACACCTGAACTTGAAGCAGCCCCAGCCCTGGCTCTCAGGAATCTGTAATCTTTTGTTCATTTTGTCCCAAACATTCCACCCCTGCTAACAAAGTGCTGTGCTGCACCCAGCAGAAGGCACAGAGCTAGTCCAGCCCTCATCCAATCCTTATCTCATGCTGGCTTCTTGCTTGGTTTGCCCTTGAGAGTCCAGCACAGTCACACACAACTTGTGATTACTGTTCTCCTGCCTCAACTTTGACTAGTTCCATGTCCTTGATTTGTAAAATACAAGTCCTATAGAACGTTCT